TGGGCACACAATGAAATGTAATTTAATTCCCAATAAGGAGAGAATTTTCCTACACACTTCAGCCAAATCTAGGCCTACATGTTAAAGGTGTGAAAACAAGTATGTGCAATTTAAACTTATTCAGCATAGGTTATTTAAATATATTTTAAGGGGGTTCCATTAATATTAAGATAGAAAGTAATTATATGATGGGTTAAACTTGATTGTTTATTTTGCATTATTAATTGTGTGACTTTAATTTGCCTTATAGACAACATTCCTAATGAGTATGCAAGCATGATATTTGCTATCTTTTTGACTTATTTTGAACTTGGATATCTTTTATAAATATAGATCATGCAAAAATGAGTGTACCGCTTGCAACTGTGTCTGCTATTTTTATCCGAATGGGAAATAAATGGGTTATTGTTTTAAATTTTTGATATCTATTGATTTTATATTGTGTAATATACAAGAAAGTCCTATCTTTATTTAAAGTAAGAAAAGAAATGAGATCTTTTTAATTAAAGTTAGCAGTGTTTTCCCTAGGATCCAAATCATCGGCCAAAATGGCCACTTCAATTACTTTCAAATAAAAATTTGTTGTAAGATTCACAAAGATTCTGTTGAACAGTTCATGAATCTCAGGGAAAGCACTGCAGTTAGTATGAACATTGAATGTATCAAAAGTTTGCCATACTTGACTAAGATTATGATGTTTCATGATCCACTTAGTAATAAAGACAGGTTTTTATACGCCCGTCTTAAGACGGGACGTATTATGTTATAGGCTTCGTGTCCGTCCGTCTGTCTGTTAGCTTTTTCGTTTCCGGCTCATAACTTTGATACTACTAGGCCTAGGATTATCAAACTTTGTCATCTGATGCATCTTGGGTAGAAGGTGTGTCGCGCACAAAAAGAAGGTCGCTGTGACTTTTAATTAAGAAGTTATAGCCAAATATGGAAAAATCCTTTCCGGCCCATAACTAGAAAACCATAAGACCTACAATCATCAAACTTGGCCAGTTTATGCATCTTAGGTAGAAGGTGTGTCGCGACCTATTTCAAGGTCACTGTGACCTTTAATTTAAGTGAATTTTTAAAAAAAAATGTGTCTTTTCACTATTCATTTAAACATCCCAAATAATGTAAGAGTATTGCACTGTCCTTATTAAAAAAGTGTTAAATCAAGACAATACTTATTTTTTTAAGCATATACTTGACAGCAATCTTTAACAAATATAATGTATGTTAGAGAAATCCTACCTCTCCCATGAGTAAAATTATCAAGCACTGGTCAAGAAGAATTTTGATAACAGAAAATTGCATGTCAAATTAGAGAGAAATTAATGGGTTTTGAGTGTGAGGAGCAACTGACAGAGCATTGGTGTTATCTATATCCCTTGAGTATTGGGCAAATGGGTAAGCCTGTTTGATTAAAAATAGCTCTTGTTAACTAGCTTAAGTTTTAAAATGAATTTGATGAAAAGTAATTAAAACAAATTTGATACTGCATAATAGACTAATCTGATATTATGTAATATTATTAATTTAAAAACTAATTTTATGGGGTGGGGTGAAATCAGCATGTCCATATGAATTACATATTAAAACCTGTCGGACATTAAATCTCAACCAAAAAAAAAATCTTTGAGTATTTTATATGTTTTTAAAATAAAAATTATAGTAGATAGTGCAAACCCATTCATCTCTTGGTAGTAATGAGTAGACAAGCATTAGCATCCAGTTAAAGATTAATTAATGAGTTCAATGTAGGAAGGCTAGCAGTGTCTCAGTCACTCTGATTAAAGCAGTCTTATCTGTACCCTTTGGGGATTAGACAGAAGAACTGCTGGTCAGTTTATCATAACATGTCATTTGATGGCCAGCCTTTTCACTTCAAAATTAATTTGGTGTAGATTAAGTTGTTAAGACTAATTTGATGATGGGCATTTGACAAGGTCTAACACATCCAGCACAGAAATCTATCAGTGATGTAATATTTATTATAATTGATGCATACATCACAGGGGATGGATGAATATTTTAAGGAATGGAAAAATCATCGAAATCTTAGAATCAAGGTTGATGTGATTTTCTGGCATCTAAACTGTTCAAGAAAATTGTGTAATTTTTTGACGGGCGTATCATGCTGTGGCATGGCACTTTATTTGCATATGCGATATGGCTGACGTCACAATAGCCGTTCAATCTGCCCTGCAGGGCTGATATGGATATGCAGGGCTGATAACCTATATCAACCCCACAAATCCATATCAGCCCTGCAGGGCTGATCGAACAGCTATTGTGACGTCAATATCACACCCTTAGTAAATTAAATTAGAAAAACAACTGTACTTATGTGATCATACACAATTTTTGGTGGGTTCATATTCTCTTAATTTTAACTTTTTGTTAAATCTTAATTTTCAAATTAATACATGTAATAGATTATTTTCAAATTACGGATCGAATGCATTGAAACAGAAGTATAAACAAACCCAAATCGTATGAGACAATAGACCATGTACATGTATGAAAGAAGTCCAGGCATTATTATTTACATATTATCTTCTCAACATAATGTATGATGTATTTTATAACTAAGTATGTAATAAACACATTAATACATACCCTTTTCCACATCATATCCTGTATCAGTCCTTGACCAATATCAGCCGGAGGGCCGAAGGCCCTAGGGCTGATATTGATGTCTTGAGCTGATACAGGATGTGATATGGAAAAGGGTATGACTATTATTCTCTATATAAACAATAATTTTGTCAGTCTATAAACTCTATTTCATAGTATCTCGAGGCCTTTCAACTAATTTTGAAGTTGCACGTGGTAAAAAACATTGAATAGATTGATTTATTGGTACATGAAAATATAAAAAAAAAAAAAAAACAAAAGATAACATGCATACTTTAATTTAATTATTTAAAAATTTAATACTTTATCATGTTTATAATTGGCTGGCCTTACGATGTGTGTTTGAAGGACAGGTAACTAAGGTGTGAAAAATGGCCAACTAAGTGCCAATTAATGAGTCAAATCGCCACCTATAATCATGATAATCGCTGTATGATTATCATGTATAAATACTATGAAGAAAGCGTATTATTGACTGGTAATGCAAGTTCAAATCCGACTATAAAAGGCTATTTCAATGATCGAACTAAGATGATAACCGGTAAAAAAAAAAAAAAAAAAAGAAGGAATTGTATTATTTTACCAAGGCCAGCATTTTTTTTTTAGGTTTACAAACCAGTGGGGCAAGTTTTGAATTTTCAGAGAAAAAAATAATTTGAAAATAAAAAAACAGAATTTTTTTTCCAATTTCAAATTTGAATCTGGATCAAGATTTCAGATTTATGAACTAGTACTTCCAGTTTTAAGGTGAAATACATGGCGGTAATCTAACATCTAATTTCTATTTATTAGATTGGCCTTGGTCAAGATGTAAATCAATGAAACTAATAACTTTAATTATTAGAATATTGGTTTAAAGAAAGAGATGTCTATCAAGTAAACATTTCTATATGAAAAGAAGTTTTTGAATAGTATTTATTTAAAAAAAAAAATTTGAACACAGAAAAATTTTATGCAAATTAAGAATGCGATCACATTATCTCAGAATTGAAAGTGAAAGAGATGAAAAAATAAAATAAACACAGTAGGATAGCAAACCAGTAAGAAATGAAAGAATATGTAGAATGTGTGACATGAACTGTGTGGAAGATGAGATCCACTCACTGATTGAATTTCCATAATAAACACGATAGAGATGGCTTTCTTAAGATACTTCTAAAAGGAATAAAAGCACTATTGCTAAAAGTAATAAAACACTTTAAGGATATGGCCAGTGCGTCAAATCATGGAATTAACTTAATAAGGGGTAGAGAGTTCAAACAATCGAATAGAGATTTTAGCAATTGATTATAAGAATCAGTATTTTCACCATTTTACAGCACTTATCTTTTTATAATTTTCTCACTTTTATTTGAAGAAAAAGCTTGTGTTATCCACATGTATATCTTCCATATATATATTCCAGTATTGTTATTTACCATCAGAGTTTCCGAAAACTATCGGTCCTACCGGCAAAACCGATAGAAAATCGAAAAGTCCGATGAAATTGGCTCTAGTACCGGTCCGTGTGACCGATTGTGATGAGGGCTTGTCCTGATTAATTTATTGTACTCTGAATTACTGCGAAGTCTTTATAAATGAAAATTTTCAATGCAGCATGCTCCTATTCTTCGTAAATATCCATAATCTTATCCAATATGCAATTCTACTTGACTTATTTACTTCCAAAAACGATCGTTTTTTTCCTAATCCGAATTTCCTCCATTAGTAAACACATGCAGTTTATAGGTCAGGGAGTGCAATGTCCACAGAGAAAACGTAAGGATAATTTAAATTTATATTTATTTTGAGTTTCTATCATAACTGCTATTGATATCTGATTCAATTTTACAAGTATTTAATTTTAATTTTATTTAAATATAATATTCTAGTAACAAAAGACATTTTCTTTTTCAAAAATTATTTTTTTCATAATCACTTGTTACTAAAATCTTTCCCCCAATATTTACTTTGGGCTAGTACTTTAGTGCTGCCACAAACCTTGTGTTCTTTAGCCATGCTTGAATTAATTATAGTTCCATAACCCTTGTATCACAGTCAGTGTTAAATTGGTGAGCCCAGATGAAAATTTATGCATATTCAATGGTATTTGAAATATTCACTGTATATTCTAAAAATTTATTCGGACCGATAGAATATGCTTCAAACTGGTAGAAAGCATTAAGCCATCAGTCCGAATGACTGATAAAAATATTTGGTATTCGGAAACTCTGTACCATTTTAACAAAGTTCATGGTTTTCTTTCATTTAAGTACATATATGATCAGTTGGTTAGATTCCACTGATGCTGCTCATTAATCGATTCTGATTTTCAACTAATTTGACAACACTACTTATCTTGCGCAGTGCTTCTACAATAAATAATTACTTACTCTACTTATTTAATTATTGAGAGGCTTAAAAGGCTGTTAAAATTAGTTAGCATTTAATACTGATTTCTACACAGATGATAGAGAAACAGCTGAGGAGATGATGGATCACTACATTGAAACAGGGCGTGTGACAGAAAAAAGAAAAACACCAGCAACTTCAGATCATCTGGACTCCTCAGATGATGAGGTAATTTTTTTTTTCCATTGCTTTTCAAATGTTAACGTTGCATGTTCAACAAATGTGAGGATGCCAATTGAGCATATGACATATTTAAGAATTTATACTGAACATTTAGAACTATATTGGAATTATAAAAGAAAAATTAAAATTGATGAAATTCTGTGCAGATATTAATCATGATAATCTTGTGTAATTAATTGGACATGAATATGTTAGGTTTTTTCCCCATTTTACATTTGATCATGATGTTAATGGGCCAGATAATGCATAACAACCAATGTAGTCCTAAAATATCTAGAAATTCAATGTCACTCAATGTGTAAAATATGAAAGAATCATGCTGTAAGAGCCAGCTTTTTTTAGTGTGTCATATTAGAATAATAAGGGTGATAGACTTAATCCTGAAATATTTGAAACAGTTCATTGTCTGGATCTGGGTCTACTATGTGTAAGCATATGGATTCATTGAATTTAAAAATAAAAAAAATTAAAAAAAAGAAAGAAAGATCAGAAAGTCATTAAATCATGCAGACACGAAGGATTTAATATACCCTGTCCACTGGTCACATTCATAAGTGTCATGATGGTGATATACTGTTCAACTTGTGTGATATTTTTTTTTTTTAGAAATCTATGTTCATGCAGTGCAATTAAACCCCAGTCACCGAGTGTTGCCTTTATCTTCTGAACTTGAGACAGATTAAATGTTAATGAAACCTGCGATCATGACTATTTTACATTAATTATTAATGATAATTCGTAAATTATTTACCGCACCAGATGCTACGTGTGTAGACCAAGGCTAATGTTGGTCTTGCGGACACAGGTACATATACGCCTATGTGTACTGTTTGTTAGGAGACTGGGTGACCGTAACGCTATGGACTCACGAAATTTACACCAGTTCCATAATTAGACAGTGCAGTTGTTTTTTATTAACGTCATTTTAAACACTGTAAAACATATTAAATCTAAATGTCGAATATCTTTGGATATGGGGTAACCCATATCTATTCTTGTTTATTACCATGATTACAGACATAATTTTTATTGTTGACTTCAAGTCTGTGTCCAAGTAGCTTTAATATGATGGAAGATTTACTTTTGTTCTACTTCAATGCTATTTTCCCCAATTGAATTTATGTTTATTTTTTCAATACTTGTATTTATAGTGTCTAAAGGAGAAACAGAAAAAGATCAGAAAGAGCTACTCCAGGTGCCAGGAGGACTTAAAGACAAAGTTCTTGAAACTCCAGGTATGTTTAACTTATCCATGTTATCTCTTTATTTTATTCAGTTTATTTAAGGACAGATGATACAACCAAAAAATGGATGCCTGAATTGGTATATATTTTGTGGGTTAATTTCATTGCAAATGATGCAAATAATAAATTTTTAGAAAATAAAGAAATTGTAAACCTTCGGTGATGTTCAAAAGTAGGCCATTCTGAAAGCGTTCTGATTAATCTATATTGATTGATTGATTGTATACTGTTTAATGTCCCTCCCCAGAATATTTCACTGATATGGAGACGACACCATTGCCGGTGAAGGGCTGCAAATTAAGGCCTATATGCTCAGCACTTACAAATATTTTTCACTTCAAATTCCATTTTAAAGCAAATTTGAATAAAAAATTAAAAACATTGTGGTGAAAGTTATTATTTATAGTCATTTAAACATGACCCAAGTTGTTATTTTCAAATTCTTTGAGAAAAGTTTGTTTTTATCATCTGTCCATAAAAATAAATTGTTTGAGTTTTACACATAGGAAAATGATTGAAAAAAAAATTGAAAAAAAACTGCCTATAATTTATATATTTTTTTACCATGAAAATAAATTCATTTTTAAAAAAAATTTCTTAAAGGTTATAAAAGAATTAAAGGATACTCAATTTAAATAAATAAAATTATGTGTTCTTGTGTGATTTCCAAAAGCTAGCTGAGGTATTTTAGGGATATGTTTCATCCGGTTGTATAGACTTGACTTAAAATGATTTTTTTTATCTTAGGAGAAAGACAAGAAGTGTGAAGATGGTGAAACAGTTAATGATGAAGGACAGGATCAGGTATGATCATCACCTTTATTGTTTTGTATTTTTTTTTTGAATTTCATCCCCCATCAACAGCTTTTTTTCTAAGGCTAAACAAAATGAGTTATTTTAATTGTTTCTTCGAAATAAATCAATTTATAAATTTTATTTGAACACTTTACAAAGATAAATTTCATGTAAAAGTTTTAAGAAAATAAAAAAAAGACAATAAACAACAATTTAAATTTACTTCTAAAGGAAAATATCACTATAGATGTTAAAATTCCTTTAAAGAAATTTTTTCATCGAAATATTTTGTCCAAAAGATCAATGAATCTTTTTTAAATTATTCTAATGAAGTGGGGATAGGGGTTCAACGATACGCCTACCCCACAATACGATAAGTATCATGGTATTCAGTTCACAGTATGATACGTATCACTATACGTGACACATTGGGTGTGCCACATTGGGTAAAAAAAATCAGACCTTTGTCATCATATACTTTAAACTCGAAAGTTTTATCAAATTCACATTAGGACACTAACACTAGGAAAGTGATAGCATCCTTCTACCCGTTAAATATGAGACTTGAAACAAGTTTATTTGCTGTTTCTGCAGTTTCATTGACCTCATGTTTAATGCGGAAGCCATTTTGAAATTGTAAATGACGAGCCAAAACGGACTATTCCGATAATTACAGACTGATTGAACTGAACCATGGGAAAATAAACTGCGGTTTACCCTCAAATGGTTTATCGTTGCACTCTTAGGTAGAGACTATTCTTGTACTTGAAAAGTAACTGAATTACATGCCTTTTTGGAAAGAAGTTATTAAATTACAGTTGCTTGTAATTGAAAAGGCCAATTATACATTACTTTCAATAACATTAAAATTTGTAATTAATTACTGTCCATTACAATAACACATTACCATTACCCTATTCCCATATACAAGGCCTCCCATGTCAATTTCAGTAGTCCCTGTCCACTGTCTTCATACACAAAAAACAGCCACACAAGTATTAGGCCCCTTTAGTGCTGGTATACACAAATAAAATAAGAAGCTAGGTAGACCTATTTTATTCATAATTTATCAAAACATTGTAGGTCATTGGAAAAGAAGTATCTCCCCAGCAAGGTGATGAACAGAAGAAGTCCGTTGATGAACAGAAGAAGGATGAACATGATAAGGTACTGAGCACCATCAAAATAGAAAAATTAAATTTCTATTAGAATCTCTGCTGAGCATTATTAGTCATGATATTTAAGTTGCTTTAATCATGTTAATACCATACATGTATAGGGGGCAGGAATAACTTTTTCAAAAAGCTATCTGGGGATATTGTGCTTTCGAATAGGCATCTAGATCGTTCACTGTAGTTTCATAATGACATGAAGAAGTGCATGTAATGTATACTGCAGTCTTATTCATCTGCTACTTGATCACAGATGTTGTAGTTAAACAATCTGCTGAATTTAAGAATATGATAGTTCTCTTGAATTATTACTTTATTTAGATGTTTTCTGTGAACCCAACTCTGACCGTACATTGGAGGATCTTGCTTTAAGTGTATTGATTTTTTTTTATTAATCCTTACTCTGAAGTTCGGAAGGTACATGTCCAATTGGAGCACACATAAAAAAAAGGGTTTTTTTATTTCGTGATAATGAACAATTTTCATTCTCTGTTTTGCATGGAGGGAGGGGAAGGGTTCTTTCATCTGTTCATCTTTAAGGACCACTCCTTTGTAGAAAATGTATACAATATTGATGCTCTTAAACCACTTCATAAAATGTAGATTTTATGCTTATTATAAAAGTAAGACATGTTTTAAGGACATAATTTATTTTGTTTAAGGTCAAAGAAGTGGACTCAGCTGATATTGATACTGCCATCGAGGAGACGTCATCATCAGAAAATAAGGAAAATGAACAGGTAAATTCAGATCTAATCTTATCACAGTTTTATATCTAGAACACTATTATCCATGTTTAATATAGATATAATGCACAATTTCACATATTTAAGCATGTTTAAATTTGTTGTTTCAGATGTCATTCAGTAGCAAGAAAGCAACACAAAGAGAGGTATGTATTGTTTGAAATTGCAGCCAGTTATAAAATTAATTGTTTTTTTTAAAAAAACAACAATGAAGCAACTTATAAAATAAGTAGTTTATTTTAAAATCAGGGAATGATAACTTTCATTTGTCTTACAAAGTTTTAATACTTTGACTTTGAATGCAATATCTTTTAAAGCTTAAACTGTCAACAACCATTATTTAATAGTATGCAGAATACCTGAATATTCTTGTCTCAATTTGAATTCAACATTGACAGAAACAAACTAAATTTTTTTTCATTTCTTTGTAGACACCATTTAGACCAAAGAGAATTATGGAGTTTGAGGTAGGTTGTTGTATAATCAAAATTACTTCCACGTCAGCATTTTGAAAGATTACCCTATAACTAGACATTTATGGGCAAATGTCTATTTTGGCTTATATCGGTGATCTTGGTAGTAGCACCCTAAAATTTCAGTCACTTATTTGAAGCTGTATTAAATTAACAATACTTGTAAACATGTTGAAAACCGATTTAATAGGTTACATTCATGCAAGTTATTGAACTCGCTAAATATGGGTTTCATTTTACTTGGCATCCTTGCAATGTATGCAACTTGTAAATCACAATGACCTGATTTTTTCAACAGGAGAGTGAAACAAGTCGTAGCAGCCATACCTTAAAGAAGAGTAGGATTGACAGGGTAAGACAATATCTTTTCTAAGATATTTTGATTAATTGTTTAGGTAACTTTCAGTGATCAGCTTGGAACAAAATGGTTTCACTTGTACAAGTAAAGAAAATTGTATTTAGTGGCTTTTTGTGTTAGCCATGAAATTTAGTTTAAACAGACTTTGAATTATTTGGAGTCTTTTGAATTGATAGGTAAGTGGTATAGAGCACTTGCTAAGTGATGGTAGGGTTATCCAATTTGATTCCTGGTTCAGCCATGCAATTCTCCTTACCTATCATACAATAAATATGATGTGCAATTTTATTTTTATATGCCCGTCTTACAACTGGACGTATCATGTATGCTACATTCTGTTCGTCAGTCGGTTAGCTTTTCATATGTCCGGCTCATTACTTGTATACCTATACTATTGGGCCTAGAGATATCAAACTTTGTCAGCTAGTACATCTTGGGTGGAATGTGTGTCATGCGCAAAAAGTAGGTCACTCTTACGTAATATTAGGCTATCTAAATTTAATTCCCTGGTTCTCAGGCCAATTTTCTCAAAAACAGATGCGGGAGGGGGGCAATTTATTTTTCATTTTATTGGCAATAAAGTAGATGAGAGAGTTATTTTTTTTTTAATTTCCAAATTTTCTTTAACATAAAGATAATTTTTTTAATCACAGATAAACTTTCCATTTCTGATCAAAATTTCTGCTTTAACCATTGCTTAACAGCGTGTAAACATCGTAGGTAATGTCCTCGAATGTATTTTCAAACGAAGTAGCCAAACTCACAATGTAAATTGCTACCGGAAGTGATGTTTGAATACTAAACTACAAAACAAATGAGGTCGGAATTTTTTTTCCCAGATTGGTGTCTGCAACACCAACTTTTTATTTTATCAAAAATACAATAAAACCGGCAATATGGCTACCTCAAAACGGATGCGCGAGGGCCTGAGAACCAAGATTTCAATTTTATATGGCCTTAAATATCTGTTTAACACAACCAGTTTAGAAATCTTTCAATAATGTAATGTTTGTCATAATTAATGCCAACACCCCAGGTGATGGATAAACAAATATTTTAAGGAATGGAAAAATCATGGAAATATCGGATTCATTTACGATTGACATGATTGATTGACATGGTTTTCTGCCATCTAAACTGTTTAAGATAATTGTAATTTTTTGATGGGTGTATCATGCTGTGACTTTATTTCTATCAATCAATTATGAACAAAACATGTGTTCAGCATACATTAGAAATTGGAAATTTTCATCAAGGAACAAGGAAAACATAATTTATTTTGAACATCTCCCCTCTCTTTTGAAGAAGGGAAGGCATGTAACTGCTTTGCTACTGTCTGTCCAAGAGACCTTGGGTATTTAAATATAATTATCTTCCATTTAAGTATTGTGTCAGTGACATGATATAAGTTCTTATCAAGATTTTAAATGAGTTGATTTTGCTTATGATAGAAGCTAGCTTCAGGTGTATATGATGTTTGTACATGTATATCAACATGCCATAATTTTAGTGTGTAAGTCTTGGGGAAAGGGGGGGGGGGGTAACAATAATATAATTGGGACAGTCTTATTTTACTTTCACTGACCAAACCTGAACATGACTCTGCACCACTGAATTTTCATAGAGATCTCTTGTGAATAATGTGTTGAGCTTTTCAATTACTTAAGTTATTTCAGTGATTGGGAAGGCCAAGGTCAATGGGACTATGGCACAACTGTCAACATTTTTGAATGGCCATTTTGAAAATGAATGCGCCATCAATATATTCTGAAGTGCCATTTTAAGAAATAACAAAGTGACAAACAAATATGACATACAAAGAAAACATGTTTTTGATTATCCAATTTGATTTTTGAATGAGTTGGCTCTCGTAGCGAGCTACTCATTGTTGAAACACGCAGCCCTTTCAGAGTTGTAAAATTATTCACACATCAAGGTGATCCATATGCCAAATATGATATTTCTAGCAAAAAATCAGGGATGCTTTTGTTTGAGTGACTGTATAAACTTTAGATGTAAAACTTTATAAAATTTCATACTGTAACATATTATTTATGTCTTCATGCTTTTAAAGAAATATTTGTTTAAATATGTGTATGATGTGCAATTACAGCGTATGAATATATGTACATGTACAAGCATGTAAGTTGGATCTAATCTTCCCATCTGATGTTTTTTTTAGTTGACCAAGAATACTCCCTAACACAAACAACTACTGCTCTCATTAGCTACAGCTAGTGTGCTTGAAAAATCTTTTTTATAATCCAGATTTGCTGTGGGAATCTTTAAATTAATTACTCCATAACATTGGCCACTGCACCTAGTGTGCTTAAATTTATTATTTATAGAATCTTTTCACAATTATGTGTACGTAACCCCAGTAGTGCCAACCTGTATATATGTAAAGGAAAAGCAATATACATAATTTTTTAAATGTACATGGAGACATGTTATTCAATTTCTTCAGATGCAAATAAATTTTGATACAAGGTAAGGTACGTGTCCAGATGTTTGAAAAGCTCAATTAACTTGAGCGAGTCAACTCGCAGGCCCTTGATTTAACATATGCAATGCTGCAAATTTAATGCAACTCCCATAGAATATAATTCTCCCTTTTTTATGTTCAAAATTACGACAGTTTTAGACATGGATCAACCCTAACATACAAATGAATGTATGAATGAAGTAATGTACCTAATAAAAGTGCTTCAATGAACCGGAAGTAGTTATAAACAAGGTTCAACCATTGAGATTTGTTGTTTTAAATTGACAGCATTTCAAACGAAAGTAAAGCAAGTAAGAGAGTCGTACACAATATATATTTCCATATGACATCGCTAAAAATTGAATGCGCACCTTGGCGCCATGATTGATTGATTTAATGCGCCACTTTTCACATCAATGCAAGTATGGCATGTGGTGCAAGCCCTTTCCAATCACTGTTATTTAAGGATCGAATCACTGTCTAGTTTTGAGAGTATGCCAGGGCATCAACAATAGTGGGAAACATGGGATAATTTGCATAAGGGGCGAAGCCCGTTATGCTAAAATTATTCCATGTTTCCCACTATTGTTGATGTCCCTGGCATACTCTCAAAACTATACATTGATTTCTTATATTTCCATTTCATTGTGAATAAAATTGTAGATTTAGACTTTAAAAATGTAGATATAGACCTAAATTACACGAGGACTTCAATGCCAATTTCAATAGTCCTCGCCCACTGACGTCAAACACATAGGCAGCGGCACGAGATTTACATGCATATTTGGCTTCCTTAGCGTCAGACACAGAGGCAAATGCGCACAAGATTTGCATGCTTAGTAGGCCTCCTTAGCTCCTGACCTATCGACCTGCCTAATTTACATTCTGGCAGAATTATTAAGAAATAAACTCAGACAACTTTCAAAGAGTTATCACAGAGAGAAAAAAATTAGAAATGGAAATATTTAGCCTTATTTTTTAATTTCTGTTTTTATCTTGTAGAGGTCACGCTGGCTAAGGAACATAGAGGAAGTCGTCACCTCTGATGATGAGGAAGACCTGCGACTGACGAAGGACCAGCTCTTCACCAAGTGCCAACTCCAGGCAATGGAGCTGCAGAAAAAGTCCAGAGAAATCATGAAGCTCGAACAGGAGAACCAAAACCTGAGAGCTGCCATAGCTTTGGCAACAGGTACTTAATTATTGTTAACCATTTACTGAATAAAATAATGAGTCTTTTGCACAATACTCCATTTAAGTTTGACTTGCATTTGAGACTCTTCAACCCTCATCATAAACGCATCTAGTTATCATAAGGCATTAGATTTATAACACATTTATGAATTGTGACTGAAATGAACTTTTTTGATTGTGTTTTTACTTCAAAAATGATGTCAGAATCCTGATTGTTAGACAAATACCATATAATCCCTATTAGCTGCCCCGGGCACTTAGAAAATTGGGAAAAGAGGGCGGTTATTTTGGTATTTTCTTCAAAATATTTAATGTAATATTAATTAGAAGTGATTGGAAATGAAGTACAGATGATAAATAAAATTGAAAGATTTTTTCAACATTCAAATTATCAGGATAATATATAATAAGACCACTTGGGTTTCAATAATTATTTCATTTCTCCCAAATACTGTATTGAGGCTTTGTGCACAGTTTTAAAAAAAATTATTTCTTATTTTCTTATTTTCAGAGCTTCCAGAACTCCTGCAGAAGATAAGGAAAGTTAAGAGCAGTGCATCCCCACCAAGCAGCACCTCAGTTGTGCCAAGGCCAACTGCCACCACCTCATCTGTTCTTCCAAAGACTCCAATCTTACCACAGAGGAGTCCTTTGACACCAGTGACACCTGTTTCACCGGAGGACAACAATGCAGAAGAGGTACATGTAGATCTATGTATTGAGTAAAAGAATGTTCTTAATGTTTGTATTTAAATATAAAAATGTAACAAGAAGGAAAGTATCAATCTTTTTTCATTTGATTATAGTATAACACATTCTTATAGATGAGACAATTTTTCGAAAATTACACTGTACAAGTCGCAAATTATTTTCTTAAATATGAATTCAGGTATTTTACGCATGGAAGTTTGATACTTGCATGGTGTCTATATCAACCAATTTGGTTTAGTATTTCACGACTTCTTGCCTTTAATCTGAACGAATAACTATTCTTATGGATGTATGAGTTTAAATGGATTTGACAAAAGTTTACAAATACCAAGCAAGGATAGTAGAGCTTAGTATCACTTCTAGAGCATCTTTGATCATCATTTTTAAAAATGGAAACATGGCAGTGCCCTACTAAATCCCTAGAATTTTTTGTTCATTTCCTGTAAATAAATAATTTTGTTATTAATTTTAACCACTGAAATTGAAAAATCAGAAAATTATTTGCTAAGATTGATGGTTCAATTTGTAAAGATTTCCTACCACAGAAAATACCTGTTAATGGTATTTTTAAAACTAATTGCAGGCAGGATTAAATATAACAAAATACAGAGACTTGTATTGCAAGATATCCATATCAAATTGTCTTAAAACAAGTTTCATAGACTTTTTAAGACTGTATTAATAAACCTTCAAAAGAAAAAAAGTGTTAACATCATTTATTGTATGATGATTAGAATAAAAAAGATTATAAATGAACCTAATGCCTATTGTAAAACTAATTAATTGAAATGTTTCTCAGGTTTTGAATTTCGGCACCGTCCAACTGGTGAAAAAAGATGTCTTTCGGCATGTTGGATCCAAGTCTTCCCATCTTGTTAACTACCTAATGGAGGAAGTTTTTACAGACGAGGAACTTGGAACATGCAGCTTGACGGGTGCCAAAGGTCGCTGCAAGGATTCAACTGACATCAAGCCAGCCCTAGATGGGGACAAGCTTGCAGACATCATAGGTAAGATATTTTTAAATTTTTTTTGAATATTTGAATTTTTTAAATCTAGGCTACCTTTATTAATTTCGTCATGCATGTTTGCATCATATTTATTGTTTGGAATTGAACAAATAATGTAAGCAAGTCATGACTTAGTAAATAAAAATTATTATTATGATATTAAAGCTAAATTATTGAGAAAAAGAAATCATAGAAAGGGGTTTTGAAAACCAGAATTTTCAGAAAGGAATTGTAAGTTACATGTAAAGACAGTGTCATTTCCTACCATTTATAACAATATTGATTTGATTCTGATGCTCAGAATATTGTTCTTATTTTTCTTGTGTTTATTTCAGCTTTCACCAAGTCGCAGTGGAGTGTTACTGAAGACAAGATTAAGAAGATCATCAGAAACAAGCTAAACAACTGCCACAAAAAAGCCAGGGTATCGGAGAGACCTCCTTCCACCACTTAAGAAAGACAACAATTTTTACAGACATTGATTGCCATTCCACATTTTCACCTGATGTGTCTTGGGCGCTTTGACCTGGCGGAGACCATCCCTCTCCAGGCTGTTAGCCACAGCCGAAGACCTCCGCTACATGGAACCATGCCTTGGCCCTGGACACTTCCATTTTAGTGATTTAAATAGTATTCTCTGTGTAGTATTTATTGTAGTTAATAGTGATAGTATTTATTTTTTAATGTTGTCATATTTATTCATAGTGCTTGCTTTTTAACTTATTTTTGAACTGTTTAACAAACTTTTGATGGCAAAGCATTATAAGTATTTTATTAGGAGGTTTATCTGTATATATGTGTATATACTGTTTTTTTCTTCAGAGTTGTGATACATACATATTGTCTTATTGTTTTGTGATATGATTGAAACAGAATGTGTTTCATTTTTAGAGCTATTATTTTTCAAATATTTATTTTTAGAAAAAGTTTATCTGTTTCGCATGTTGTTCAAGTTTTTGCCCCATTTTTTGTTGTAAATTTTAACATTGTTTTCTTTTTCCTTCAGCCCTTAAAATACTGAAGAATGTGCCAAAATTTTATGTTTACAGCAGGATTGTCCCTAAGAATTAAAAGAGCAGGGCTCTATGATTGAAAGGGTTTAAAGGATTCTAGGCCCCCCTCGATCCCCTGGAGTTGAGGGGGATACCAAAATAACACGGGAGGGATGTGTTCATTAAACATTTTGGTTCAAATTTCTGTAGTTGTTAGAGACAACCCTGCTGTTATAAATACATTTTAAAACCTTGTCATCAGTGTCTAAATCACCAAATTCTGTTAAAGAGTGTAATGTTCATATCCAGAGGAGGGAACATTGTAAATTTTTCTGTGATAAACGTATCAAATTTTTTTTTTTTACATTTTTTTAAACATTGTATATTTTTTCTTTGATAAAGATTTTACTTACCACATCTCAGGTTTCACCCCAGTATACTGACTTCATTTAGTACTTCAAGAGAATTCCATGCATTTTGTATGCCATATATTTTATTAAATTTATTGGATGATCTAGATTTAGTTTATGATATTGAATGTTTTCATTGATTAATAAACATATGATTTTTTAAATACGAGTTTGTTTTTTTTTTCTTACTTTGGATTTTAGTCTCTGACTTTGTTATAAGAAGTTCATATCGTCCAAGTTTTCACTAGAAATCAAAGTGTCAAAGTGATATTTTATAATTATAGTAAACCGGACTTTTAAAATGTATCACTTTCGTTAATCAAAGTGTTCAATATAGTAAATCAAAGTTTTAACCATAGTGAGTCAAAGTATTTCAAAGTGTCATAAAGTTTTTTCGCCAAAGTTTTTCAAAGTGTCAAAGTTTTTCAAAGTGTCAAAGTCAAAGTTTTTCAAAAAGTGTCAAAGTTATCAAAGTTTTTCAAAGGTCAAGCATTTTTCAAAGTGTCAAAGTTTTCGTGTTTTTCAAAGTGTGTCAAAGTTATCACTATAGTTAACTATAGTAAACTATAGTTAACTATAGTTAACTATAGTATTTTTTTGTTAGGGTAAATTGATCAAATCATGACCCCCGGGGGTAGGGCGGGGCACAAGAGGGAGTCCAAGCTTTACATTGAAATTAATAGGAAAAATTTTTAATAAAATCTTCTTCTCAAGAACCACTGGACCAGGAAACCTAAAATTATGTGGAAGCATCCTGGGGTAGTGTAGATTCTTAATTGTTCAAATCATGACCCCTGGGGGTAGGGCGGTGCTACAATAGTGAGTCAAAGTTTATACTGATATATGTAGAAAAATCTTTAAAAAGTTTCTTAAAAATCAAAAGCCAATGGGTCAGAAAAGATTAAACTTATATGGAAGCATCTTTAGGTAGTTTTTATTTTAAATTGTTTAAATCATGGGGAAGGGTGCTGTTTTTTTCCGTATTCTTTTTTTGCGATCGGGTTCGTTATTCCGAATATTACGATATCAGATATCAGAACGAGGCTCTTTGTTAGAACAGCCACGTTGCGTCGGGCGAAAGACAGCATTCGAGAACGGATCCAGTTTTAACTTAAATTCAGATACCTGATTTGTTTTAGTTCATTTGTAGAGGTAATATTTGAAACATGCATTTTAAACATCGAACCGATTGAATGATGGAGATGATACGTTTCCATTTGCGCATTTGAGTTGACCAAACTTTAGTTTTTGAAGCTTTTGACTTTGCAAATTTATTACGAATTCAACAGTCATTCGGCAATCAGTATGTATCGCCAATAAAGCCTTATGTCTAATGATTTTATAAGGGAAACTATTTATTTTTAACGCCATATTTGTGCAGATATGGTCCATGCTTATTCACATAGGTTAAAAAATAATGATTCACCGGAAAGGACGTGATTGAAACTCGCACTGTATCGCAGTAGATATTGGGGTGAGATGTAGAAAATGGCAAAACAATTTAGAATATAAGATACATATTCTTTTTGATGAATAATAATCGAAATGTACAGGTTATGGATAAAAAAGTATAACAGGATAAAAAAGGAAAAGCATGGTATAATGTATTATGGAATCCAGTAAATTTGAAGTAACATATGCCATAGTCTTCTGGCCGTAGGGTCATGAAACATACGTAGACTTCAGTCAAATTTTCAACCCCTTGTAGAATGTTTATTAACGATGTAATTAATCTAAATACTTGCAAATAACAACATTTGTTTGAATTAATACTAAAACATTTTTAAAATAAATTTTAATTGCTTGATATCCACAACATTGAAGGATAATATAAATTAAGACTTGAGCTAAAGATGTTTCATGATCCAAGGGCCAGGTTGAATAATAAATAAAAAAGACTAATTGTTTTGTTGTTGTGTTGTTGCTTTATTATAATGTTATCTATGCAGGGATTACTCTACGTTTTGGGAGAAACTGCCTTTCCTGGAGGAATACAGGTGGTTTCACCCTGATTTCTTGTTTGCTCTGAGTGGTTTCTCCCCAATTACTTGTTTATGCTGAGTGGATTGACCCAATTGGGTTTACCCATGATTATTGTCTGTTTGTCGGATGGTCGTTTGTTCAGTAGGTTAATGATAAGCAGCTTAATAAAAATTAAAGATGAAGGCTGTCCTTTGTGCTTTAACATGAATCTATACAAAAGTTTTGTTTGCTATATCATTTTTATAATGGCTACATGAAGCTGTATTCATTGCAAATAAACTGTTAGTATTTTTTTTCTTTAACTAAAAAATTATAGGAAAATATTAAATTTATTTAAGCCTTATTTATTTGTCTATTTGAAATATGAACCGATATGTGTTGCATTAAAATTCGTAAAGAATTTCATTCTATATCTGATATTGAAATGTTATTTAATTATCTACCAGGGTAATTATGACTGTGTATAAGTCACTTAAAAAAGAACATATAAATTTATTACCTGTTACAGTGTAGTTAAACGAAGTGAAACCACTTGGTGCATACACTTAATCGGGGCGAACCCACCCGTTACATTCTGTAGAAATAGGGAAAACTAGCCAGGGTTGGAGGACCAGTCCAAATAGGCAGATCTAGAGGGGGGGGGGGGGTACAAAGTTAATGCAATAAAAAAAAAAAGAAAGATTTAAATGAAGGGTTTGTTGGGTTTACATGTCTACATGTATAATTATGTAAAATATACCTTATATTAACCCTACCTCTTCTCCTTATTTCATTTATTTATTTATTTATTTATTTATTTATTCCATTTCAAAAATTTTCTAGATCTGCGCCGTCCAACTGGTGCAGGGTGAGCCCTGCTGGGAGGTCCAATTTAATATCAGCATTTTTATGACCATTTAAAGTGCATAAAATAGCAAATTAAACTATATTTCACACCTCATGATAATTTATTTCTTTTATTTTCCAGTTTTTTAAAAGAAAAGAAATATTTGAGCTTTTTATTATTGTAAGGGAAATTTTTACTCATTAAAGGGGAAAATGGGATATTCAGGGGAAATTTTCTCTTAGGGAAAAATACCAAACATTGGTAATGCTCCGGGTAAATATGCCCCAGAAAATCCCTGTATAGTAACAATGAATTATCTTGATTGGAAATTGTATGCCAAAGATTTAATTATTTTACTTGGCGCTTTTTGAAAAAGAATAATTAATATCTATGCCCTTCTTCGAAGAAGGGAGGGCATATTGCTTTGCTGCTGTCTGTTGGTTGGTCTGTCGGTCCACTTAGTTTCCATTCATTATCTTCGCAACTGTTGCACATACTGAAGTGAAATTAGGTATACAGGTATATCTCATGAATATCTAGGTCAAGTTCTGTTTTGGGCATGATCACACCAATTTTGTCAGAGTTATGCCCCTTGGACTTAGAAAAATTCCGATCATTTGCAGTTTCCGTTCATTTTCTTTGCAACCATTGCACATACTGGAATGAAATTTGGTATACAAATATCTCATATGAAAATCTAGGTCCAGTAGTGTTTTAGGTAAGATCACAACATTTTTTACAGAGTTATGCTCCTTGGACTTAGAAAAATTCCAATCATTTGCAGTTTCTGTTCATTTTCTTCGCTACGGTCGTACATACTGAAATGAAATTTAGTATACAGATTTATCCTATCAATATCTAGGCCAAGTTGTGTTTTGGGTACGATCGCACCATTCTTGACAGAGTTATGTCCCTTAGACTTTGAAAAAATTACAATTATTTGCAGTTTCCTATCATTATCTGTGCAGAGGTTGGACATACTGAAATGAAATTTGGTATACAGATTTATAAGTAAAATATCTAGGACAAGTTCTGTTTTGGGATGATAATTTATTTCTTTTAATTTACATTTTTGACAGAGTTTTGGACTTTGAAAAATTTCCAATTTGGGGGGAGGGGGCATAAGTGTTTTACAAACATCTCTTGTTAAATTATATTCCAATACTGGTAAAGACTAATCTCCACTTGAAATACTTTTTGCTTTAAAAAAAATAGCCTTGATCAAACATCCCATGGGCAATAATTTAATGGGGAAGAAAATTACATTTCTGGTTAATTGCACAATATTCAGGTCACCTTGGTCATGCATACATATATACAGTTTTTGGTCAATGATTACATTATGGGTAGTCTTATTGAAGAATTGTCAATTTTGTTCATTAACAGCTTCTGGATTGAAGGAAAGATTTGCAATTTGAGTTTAGTTGGTAATGCAATAGATCCAATGGATAGGAGGAGTTGGAGAGAATTTCTAAATATCTGATATTAGGTTTAAATTGATTGGAATGAAAA